TCGTCCTTGTCAGCCTTCATACCACCTTTGACCCATAAATTCTAGTTTCCAGAATCTCGATTAACATTTCGCTAATAGTGACTTGCGGACCTCCTGCCTTGGCCGTATATAATACCATTGGGGGCGATATTGATCTGGTCCTTGAACAGTTCAAGAAGGCCTGCTGGTCTCCTGAAGTCAATAAATCCCAATTTGTTTTGACCCCGCCAACTCACAACTCTTCCCAAGCAAGTCGAATAGCAGTAATTATATGCGATCATGATACTTGGATAGAGCGACTGGAAATCGAGCACTAAGAGGGGGCTGGTGTAGAAATCGCTTTGAGGCTCCATGACAAGCGGCAAGCATTCGAGCGCATTCTGCTGTCCCACTTGTTTCTTGCCTGGGGAAATGAGGATGAAATTTTCCGGTTTAGCAATTCGGAACATGAGGGATTCGACTTTGAACTGAGATCCTCTGGAGAAAACGGAAAAGAAATCAATGCCCAATATTCGAGCTTGCTCACTGGTTCTGGAAATCAATTCGTTCGACTCGATGATTTTTAGATCTAGTTGAATTCTCGAGAGAAAGTAATTGATGACCTTCGCAATATCCCGCGGTCTTTTGCTGGTAAACCATTTCGTTAAATCTTGAAAGGGGTAATGTGGAATTCGTTGGTGGAGGAGATGGAAGACTACGTTTTCCATAGTATATTGGAGCAAGTTGAGTTCCCCTCGCATGGCCCTCCATATGTTGATCATGTGTCGGCCAGTAATCCGAATTGAAGACGTATGATTGAAACCCCAGCGATCATTCCCCTTGCCAATACGTCCGTGAGAATTTGTCTTCACCCTGGACAACTCGTCGCAGAGGTCATAATCATACTTGTATCTCGCCCTTTCAATTAGGTAACCCCACGAGCTATTATGTACCTCATAGCCAGTTAAAATATCTGGATCACGCTGCCTTACAACATCAACCAGTCTCGTTAAAAGATCAAGCTCCGTTTGTTCTTCCTCGAACTCGGAGACCATAGTGGGAGATATCCTAGCGGCGAGGCTCTCATTTTCTGATAGAGCAATAATCCCTGCAGTAATGCCAGCAGAATCATCGTCGTCATTGATCTCAGTTTCGCCGTCCTGCACACACCAGAAAATACAGGAGATTTCATCCTCTTCGGGATTTGGAACTAAAGTACCACGTGTATTCACATGAACCTCGAGACTCATAACACTCATATATTGAGCCTCTTGTCGTACATTCCTCGTCGGCTTTTTCTGAGAATATTTGAATCCATGGCGATCCTTTTGTGTTGGTCCCTCAATCTGAGAAAGAGCGGAACTCCCAGGCTTCTGTGAAGGCTTTTTACGTCCCTTTGGCATCCTTCAATT